CCACCATCACTTTCCAATCATGTGGTATGTAGGGGGGTAAAGGTCAAGTTCCAAAGGTTGGCGTCTCTACCCAAATTGCATTAAGCTGAAAAAGCCACATATAAATATACGCCTGACAGACACATGCAGGAATATGTGCTGAGAACTAAACCGCAGTGAAACCTAAAGAGAATAAAATAATAACACCTAGGAATCAGCTCTGGCTCTCTGCTTAGTGAGATATCATGGTGCTAATTATCAGAGTGAGCTGCATCATTCCCGTCCCTGCGTATCCATGGAAACCAAGCGTCGCCTAAGGTGTCGTAATCTGACTGGTCCACAACAGGTGCACCACTGTCCGCCAAACAGGACCCTCTCTGAAACGTGCTCCACATACTGGAATATTGTGCGTCTTACTGACTGTATTTGTATTCATGTGTGCATCTGTGTGTGTGTGTGTGTGTGTGTGTGTGTGTGTTTGTGTGTGTGTGTGTATATAAACATACAGTACAAGAATTTATAGGAAAAAAAATGTAGCATTTTAATTTTTTCTGATGTTTTTTCAGTCCATAAAGTAACACAGATGTATCATCTGCTTATAGACAGCTTATAAAAGATATGTGCAAATAATGGAATCTCGTCTGCAGACATCTACATCATTCAGCCCTCTCCGTCCTGCTGCTGTCTGAACTAGTCTAACAGTTATCTCTGCCCAAGCGCAGCAGAGAGCTCTAATCCTTTGCAGATTCTGACAATGCAAAAAAAAAAAAAAAAACTCACTGGCCAAAACATTCACCTCCTTTAACTTCAGGCTATAACTTTAAATAACCGGATAAGTAAAATTGCAGCTTATGTGATCGGAAAATTATAAATTAATTTTGTTCAAATTGTTGAAGCAATAATCCTTCAGACATAGCTCATGATAAAGACTTCACACCTAAAAGCAACAGATAAAGCAGGGACATACAGTGGTGATATGTGCATCACGGCCTGTCGATGGTCACTCTCTACAAATCCGATATCTTGTTTTGAGTGACTCTGGGTGCCCTGTTTTCTGTTTCCAGATCCTAAACAGTCAATGATCACTCTGCTCTGGTGAGGCAGGAAAAGCCAGGGGCAGGGTCGCTGCTGAAGGGGAATCGACTGCAGCGTCTGTTAATTAATGCCCTGCATGCTGGGGTGCAGAGTTTTTCTCTGGCCACACAAGCCTCTGACTCTCCACCTCTCCTCTCTTTTTATTCTGTTTTCTCTTCCTAATTTTTTCTCTCATTTCTGTTCATTCTGACGTTTTAACTCTTGTGACCTTGATATTGTAAATGCATGATCTGTCAGGCAGCCACTTGGTAAGATAAAGTCTGCCAGCAACAGCAATTTATGGGAAGACTCTGATTTGTGAAGAGGAGACGAGGACAGGAGCTAATTGTGCTTGATATTTACTTCCCTAACAGCGCTACTAATTGCCCCATTAACATTCTGAACTGCATTGGGCTTTAATGGGTTTTGATGCATTTGATGCAGACTCACAACAATATCTGACAACTGAATATATACTAATGAATCCAGTTTATTCCTCATCATAGGAGGCAGCCTTCTCCTCACTCATAGAAAAAATGGGTAGATGCTGTGATTTCTCTGTCCTCCATCCTTTGTGTTATGTTGTTGGGAGACTTATTTTTAACGGTGTGTGTGGGAGCTGGGAGCTGTGTGGGCTCGCTTTCATGAGACAGAATGTGCAGGACGCCCGTAGTGGAGCCGAGCCACAGGCAAGCACTGAGCAAAACTTGTGAATGGTGAATGGTCAGCACCAGAGCAGCAGGGGAGTCAATAAATGTTCCAATGTTTCAAAGAGGTGTGAATAATAACAAGATTTTTTCAAGCATTTTTTTTATCAAAAATGACTGTTCCAATACTGATGACATGGAATTAGGCTTTATATACTTCAGCTGCAGGGCTGAAGGGAATATGTATTTCTAATATGTAATTTATAAACAGCATTAATTTACTCCTGTAAATTTGTCGTCTTGTTTGTTCCTTGTCTAAGTCTGCTGTATCTACTTCTTTTGTGATTTCTGTGGTTAGAATTTATTTTGTCCAGCAGGTTTCGATATTCTTACAGCTGAAAGTGACAACTCGTGTCTCTTACTCCGATAACAGGACAAAATAACATATTTGCTCTGTCAAATGTAACACATACAAGGTAAGCCTAAAACCTAAAACACTAAGCGTCTTTATTTAAGATTCTTAAATCAAATAGTAAGTTATTGTCCTGTTTTGGAGGCTAGTGAGGAAGGAAAGAAAAGTGATGACTGTTTAGAAAAATGAAAACTGAAAAAATACTTTGTGTGTGTGTAGGTGATATTATTATATCTCTTAATACGTATGCCGCAGATCTGTTTACTTGATAATAAGTTATAAAATTACATTTATAAAGCTGAATGTTTCAATTGTAACATTTCAAATAAACAGTGTTTCTCTAAACCTTTGATGTGTTGTATAGGTTGGAGAGGCAGATCAAACAACTGTGTAGTAATACTTTCCATTGACAGTAGAGGGCACTAACTCTTATCTACAACAATATTCATCCAGCTTTAAAACCAAAAAGCAGGTGAAGACATATCTGACAAAAACATTATATCTGGGTATATTTTATCAACTTAAATTGTGTGTGTGTGTATGTATATATATATATATATATATATATATGTATATATAGGCTATATATTTATTTATTTTTTATTTATTTTGGTCTAACGAATGTCTAAAAAATCTGCAGTGCTCTGTCTTCTTCTGTTTTGATCTCACACACCTATTTACTCACTAATCTATGCAAACACACACAGTCTCAAATTTGATTCACCACATTGCCCAGTGCAAGACAACATACACAATTTAATAAAAAAAAATAATAGCAATATATATATGTATACATATATACTGTATATACATATATATATAGACAAGTAGAATACAAAATAAAAGAGGTGTATCTGATGTAATCCTTTGAAATTAGGGAAAATGAATAACCATCCTAAATAAACCTGCTGAACAACATGAACATGTTTCATGAATGACCGCATGAACTGCTACAGAGACCTGGCTGTCACACATATCACAAATATTGAAGCCACCACATCAGGTGCTTTCATGGAGGTCTGATGGTGAACTAGTAAAGCTCAGTCACTGGCTGATAACAACCGAGCTAGAAAAAGACACCTCACAAAGATCCCCCCACAGCGTTGTTGTGGCGTGGGTGAAGAGTAAGACTGAGTCATCTCAGAAGGACAAAGGAACTCATCTCTCACTATCCTTCCCAAGACTTTATTTCCAAACAGCAATGAAAGTAATATAAAGGTACAGTCCCTGATTCATATTAAAATCCTTATTATATTTGCAGACAGGGAAAAAAATACCATAGGTCCCTGAAAATAACATCTCTGTTTCACACATGGCCATTTGTCCATTTGTCTCCACAATCCAGCTACTTTCTCCTGGTGACACAATGACATATTTTACTACCAGCATTATATTGAAAGGCGTTCCACATTAGAAAGTTCTTTCCTTTACACACATGGAGGCAGGGCTCAATATTTAAACAAACACCTCTGAATATAATGTAGTGCAGAGGTATATATATATATATTCAATACAGGATGCAGCATTTTATTTTCAAATACGGTACAATCCTGTATTATATGGGACAGGTGGCAACCCTACATGGTACTGTATATTACACTGCAGGCAGCTATAGCAACAGTACTTTTAGTTTATGCAATGTTACAGTGCAGCTTGGGAAGAATGTCCACCTGTTACAGCTTAACAAAACACTTGTTCTGCCATGTTAGCTAGTTAACTGTGTTTAGAGAGAAGATGTAGCCAGCCTACATCCAGATGTCTGAATTGCTGCCCAAAGTTTTTTTTGCTGTTACTTATTGTCAGCAGTTCGGTGGTTGGAAAAACCATGCAAAGAGCCTTTAAGAGGGCATGTGGCTGCCCTGTGCCAAGAATATAGCAACAGAAATTTGGCCACAAAAATTAAAGTATGGATGAGATCAACACAGCTGTACAGGTTGTTTTAAGTTGACTTAGAGAAAAGAAAAGGGTTCTCCCCCATCTCTCAGCAGTATCCATCGAAGGAAAGGTGCTTCTCGGTTCAAAGACAGCAATGCTTCAAGGGAAAAAAGGGGAACTGGAGCACACTGATTGATTTGCAGCCTCTAATAACACCAACAGACTAACATTTCCACTCAAGTGTGTCTTCATCAGACTCAAAATGGACATAGCCATAAGGCAAATACATACAGTATATAGTCACCCTGAACAGAATGTACAATTGTCATTGGATAATTGTTTGATCATGATTTCAAATCTGGATTGAAGTGGAGTTGCTATAGAAACAACAACTCTTACAACCTTGCATATTTATATCAACAGCTCCCAGAGATTCTGTGTCCATGGAAAATGTTGTACATCACTCACTACTAGGTCTGCAACTACCATATATACACTATCCCACTAATCTGCAGATTGATATCTCAATTTGTTGATTAATTTTCTAGTCTAAAATGTCAGACAATGAAAGAACATTATAGAGAAAATGAATTTTTTTTTTTTTTTCAGACAATCAGTGAAGAACTTATAAATATTTAGTTTTATTTTCAAATAAGTCAAAGAAAAGCAGCTTAATCTCTTAAGCAAGACGCTGTAACAAATTAATATTTGGCATTTTGTCAAAAAATGACTGGAATGTTTAATTAAGCAATACATATGCCACTTAATTTTCTGTTGATGTACTAATAGACTTATTGATTATAATTAGTTGTATTCAAACATCATATGGTATTAAATGATGACTTATTGGTAAAATGAACGACAGAACTAAACAATGAAGTATTTTTACATGGCCATGTTATAGCATGCCTACAAACAAAACCACCAAACAGCTGAAATCTTCCAATAAGGTTTCCAAAAACCTGCTCCTGCCCATCACCTGAAAACACGTAATTATTCAGTATCCTTCTTACTTTTCATGTCATCCAGATCGGCACTGGCCAACATCTGGGCCTCCGCCTCATCAGTGGGCACCTGCTGGTAGACAGCAGTCTCCAGAGCAGTCATACTGCCGATGCAGATCCGCTCCCGCAGGTCATAGTTGCTGCGCTGGGCGCCCGCCAGGCGATGGTGCACAGGCTTCCTCCGGAACCAGCCGCGGGCTGCAGATGAGCTTGAGGGATCTGATCCTGGGGGAACGCTGGCAAGGAACAAAGGGAGAGATATTGTTATGGGAAATGTAAAGATTATGAATGATGAGCTCCATCTGACATTAGAAAATAATGACAAACTGGAATTTAAAATGGTAAATGTTGTATATAATTGTATAAATATTCAAACATAATTTCTCTGTGTTGTGCCACTTGGTTGTACTTCCATCACTTCACCAACAGAGGGCTTCACAACACAGCACCAGGCCAGGATCTCCTCACCCAGCCTGAGTCATCACTGTTCACTCAGACACAGAAACACAGCACTGCTAGGCACAGACATGATGGTGTTTCCGTGTTTTTATCATCCAGGCATTACCAGAGACAAATACCTCAATCACCATGGAGACCCTGACCTCCCAGAAGCAAACTCCATACATAATTCAAAGCACCACCAAATAATTCATATTGTGATGGTTATGCATGTTTGCTGGCCAGATGGGTCTTCTAATATCTGGGATTCAGCTGGAGCCATTAGTGGATAATAAATGCCTTAGGAACTGTACATATTGATTATATGTTTTGCTGTTGTTCCTGTTCCTAATGAAACACTTGAGTTGCTAATGTAAAGTTCATATAGATCTGAAAGGTAAAGCATATGCATGCAATAAGAACGGAAACAACTCAACTCTGCGCTCTTGTCTGCTCTATTCTGTTTTGTGATGCTTGTATCCTTTGCTGCTCAGAAAAGTACCTGCCTCATTAAATGTGTTTAATAAATGTTTGATGCACGGGGTCAGTTCCAAATTTAGAAGGCAAAATAAACCTTTGAATATTAATTAAAACATCTTTAATCCAGCTTTAATATCCTAAATACTCATTTCTGACAGACTGAGAGGCGGAAAAATTAAATAGGAAATTGAAAAACGGTGCACCCCAAACACTGAGTTTAAGCAGTCTACAGAAAACCAGTCAATGTGGCATATTAAACTGCAGGTAACCATGGAAACTTACCTCTGTTTCATGCTACATTACCAGTAAACTCCCTGGTGAAACACACCAACAGTAATAAAAAGATAAACTGACAAAAAAACAAAACTTTACAACTGCAAAGTATTTTTCAAAATTATTGTAGATCAAATGACTATATGTGAAGGGGTTCGCTCATAGCGAATGTAGTTGTTCCCCTCAGTTCTACGGAGAGTTTCAGCATCCTCCAGCTCATTGTTTTAGTTTTATGACCGACAAATTTAGTTCACTCTCATTGCTCTAACCTTCTTTACAGCCACAGCAGGCAGCTGTTTCCAGGGAAAGTACGCTCTAATAAACCGGAACTCGACCTGCCTAGCATCAAACAGCAGACAGACACAGTTAGCAACTAGCTGCTGCAGCAATCAGCAGCTAAAGATATTTAAGGGTTGGTGGGAAGACAAAAATGTGAGTGAAAATTGGACTTACATTCATCAGTTGATCAGAAACACAATTCCATATAAATGCTAATGTTGCTCCTTGTCTGCTTGATGTGTAAGGCAACTGTTTGCGAACATGTTAGCCATAGCAGCTTTATAAGGTGATATATAAATACTTGTGTATGCTATAGCAATGTACAGGCCCTTTTTGCAACAGAAGCTAGCAAAAGCACAGGTGTCACTAATAACATGAATAATTTTGTTAGCCACATGGGGGTAGCAAAATAAACTGTGAACACATCACTGTCATATTGTCACCTTGTAAAATTCTTATAGCAAACTTGTTAGCAAATAGTTGCCTATTTATACATCCAGCAGACACGCAGCAACATTAGTAATTATCTCGAGTCATGTGTCTAGTGACCTGAAGAGCGTAAGTCCAGTATTCATGCTACTTTAAGCTTTGTTTTGGTTTCCTACAAATCTAAGGTGAAAATGGCTCTTTAACTGCTAAATGCTAAATAACGAGATAGTTCACTTGTTATATCTGGCTATGTTCGCTCCATGCTATTCACTAAAGCCTGCTTGGCAGTTAGGGTGCACTCATTTTATGTAAGTTTTCTTTTTGCTGAAAATAACTGCTGCTGAAAACACGGTTAATAGGAGAGGTGAGAATGTAGCTAACAAATAAATTGTGGGGCGGGGGGCAAAGCAGTTAAGTGAAAGATGGTCAGTATGGGTGAGAGGAACTGCAGAGTAATTGATATTTTATTATAATATTGCAATGTGTCAAAAGTCCTCATTTAACTAATGTATCTATCATGTATCGCATGTATCAATACTTCTTGCATTTTAAACCAATGCTGACAGCAGAGAATCTGAGATGCTGTAATAAACTACCTGTTGAAATCCATTTCCTCCCCAGCCACCTCCTCATTCTGGCCAAGAGCAGAAATTCCCCCATTATGAGATGCTCCCTTTATCAGAGTGAGTGCAGCTTTCCTCGACAATGGATGCTCTTCATTTTCCGTGTGGAAGGTAGCGAGCAGAACGGGTTCCTCCAAGTCCTCTTGGCTCCCCAAACTAAACTGAGAGGAAAAGGAAGATCAGTGAGAGGGGTGGAATGTGCTTACATGTAGTTAAACCTAATAGACTGTCCAAACCACTGCTAGCTATTATGTGGTAACAGTTAGCTAAGCACTCAATAGCGATCCTAGGGCTCTTCAGTCTTATTTTACCTGTGGTTGGATATCAGGTAACTCTGTGGGTGTGGCAGCCACCCCCAGTCCGTCCGTATCAGACTCCGCCTCTTCCTCATCTACCTCTTGGATGGTGGGTGTAACATCGGAGGGGGGCAGAGAGGTCTTTTTTTTCTTCCGTTTCTTTTTGCGCCTTCTGTCCATGCTGTGCACCCTCTTGCGTAGACGCTGGGGCAGGGGCAGGTGGGTGGACAAGGGGTGGTGCGTATGATGAAATGTGTGTCTGTGATCTGTGTTTAAGACATTAAAAATTTAAGTTAAAAACACATCATAATATAAATTCAGTCAGACAGCTCATAGTTAGAGTTGGTGGCTAGGCCTGACCTCATCACTCTGGACAGATATTGTATATTTACTGAGAGATATTGGGGAGTGATGAGCAAATATATTAAACCTCCCCAGCCGGAGCTTAAATAGACCACTGATGTGGGTGTGTTTGGTAGATGATTGTAGAGAATGTGTATAGCAGTACAGCTAGAGTTCACTGCCTAAACCATATGTTGAAAATATGTGTACTGACTATATAAATGCTGTATAGAGTACATACAATACACTAGGTAATGTATGACAATACAAAATATGAGGGAACTAAGTAACTGATATCTGTGAACAAATGGCACACTACTGGCATCAGTAATAATTGCCATTGCCACTATAGTGGTTTACATATGAAACAAAATTGATACTGCAAATGGTGCTGAGCTCTCCTCGGTATTACAGCGGCATTGTCGGGGGAAATTATTATTCTGAGCTACTTTACACATTTTAGACAAGTTGTTGTGTGTTTTCAGGGGAAACTGGGAAAAAGGGAGAAAAAAGATGAGTGCTCCACTGTGTTATTATTATTTTGTTTCCAGTAGTGGCGAACAGCCTGTCTGCATAATTTTTATAACTGCGGCACCTTAAATAAATACATTCTTGTGTTTTCAGCATACACTGCCTTATAGGAACAAATTATGTTTTCTTAGGCACAGGCTTTTCAATCCATTAAATAAAAAAATCCTGCTTTCAGACTAGATGTTCTCTCTCCTCCTAATTCCCTGTTAAACATTTGAAAGACACAACACAAAACAAAAGCTTTAGAATTTAATTAACATCCAACATTGCAGAACAACACTGTTTAGTAAACATCTGCCAATCTGCTAATCTCTCTAACAGTAATCCACCAATATACGCAACATACACTGCGTTTGGTTCCTGGCTCTAAATCTGATATCAGTCAAACTGGGATAGCCAAAGTCAAGTTCAGATTTTAGAGACATTTATATTTAACTGGATTACATTATGATAAAATATCAAGAAGAACGTCTCTTATTGTTTTACATCAGTGTATTAACACATGATTCATATGAACAAGCTCCGTGAGGCTAGGGGTTTCGTACAGCAGTGCTTTGAGCTAAATGCTAATGTCATGATGTCTATCATGTATAACATTTACCACGTTCACCCTCTTGGGGTGTTAGCATGCAACATTTGCTAATTAGCATTAAATATAAAGTGCAGCTGAGGCTGATGGGAATGTCATTAGTTGCATAGTTGTGTATATTTTGTGTGTATTGTGTCATGAACCAAAATACAGGTCAATGCAAGATTCTGAGCTGGTGGTCGGTTCTGTGGAGGAATTATTTTTTTAGTTAGTCTGTAAGTGTTTACACACAAGGTCAGTCACAGGGCACCATAGCCCTTTGTTTATCTCTAGCCTTGTGAGCACTGTCATCCACAGTTGCTGTAGTAACCAAGGTTAGTAGGCCTCTTATTGATAGTGAGTGTAGGAAGATACAAATATTTGAGGGAAAAGGTGCCGTAAAGTCCCAGGGACACAGAGTATTCATACTAAGGTAGAAGTGAAGGAAGATCCCCAGTAAGGTAAGACATGAGATCATGTCTGCATTTAAGTATCCAACACAAGTTTCACGTGTAGGTGAGAGATATGGAACATCCTTATTTGGGAATACAGTTGGTAACAGGCAAACATGAGCCATGTGACAACTTGTGGGTTTGTATACGTCCCTTTCCAGGGGACAACTACAGACTAGGGATGGCATTACAATGGTTAACCTGTTAATGTTTGTAATTGTCTATTGTCTATGTCCTTGGTGCATTGAGCAACAATAAATACTTCTGCTCAAGACAGGCATGTCCAAAGTCCGGCCCGGGGGCCAATTGCGGCCTGTGTTCAAATTTTCACCGGCCCGGCCTCTGTCATAAAATCAATAATATGCGGCCCGCCAGCACTGTTGACCACAGTATAAAATACACGCGTACAAAAAAAGCTATTTTACATTTCACCAGAAGATGGCAGTAGACCTGTGGCCGCACTCTCGCCGCCGTGACCCTTGTGTGATCCTTTCAGCCCAGCCCATTTCTGACATGGCGACTGTAACTAAAAAAAGAAAAGTTGACAGCGAGGGCCGCCGCTTCCAGGACAAGTGGAAATTGGAATATTTTTTCGCTGAATTACGAAGCAGTCGGCACCAACAGCTCCCTCTTCTCAACTTCTGCCGCCAGCTGGATGAAGGCAGCTTCCAAGAGATTCGAACATTTGCTAAGAAAATGCTGAGCTTGTTTGGCTCGACATACTTGTGCGAGAAGACATTCTCGGTTATGAACATTAACAAGAGCCGCGTGAGGACGAGACTAAGTGACTCTCACCTGCGTGACGTTTTGCGCATCAAAACCACTGTTTTTGAGCCAGACCTGGACTACATACTGCTGTCGAGATCTCAGTATCACACCACAGTTTTGAATATGCACAGACCACTGTTTTGAATTTAGAAGTTTACCGTGAGCATTTAATAGTGAATAATATGTAATGTTTCAAATGAACCTAGATATGTTTCATCTTCCCAAAAGTTTTTTTTCCAGACAGACTTTTTCTTCATTTTATGTTGTCTTCAAATATGAAAGGCAGAGTGATTTTGGCAAAAAACTTGAAAATGAAAAAAAAAATGAAGTATGCCATTTGCAATAAAAATTTCATAAAATAGTTCATTTGTATTTAATGTTAATGGTTCAAAGAATGTCAGGCTGAATGGTCGGCCCCCACACATTTTCACCCTACCAAATCTGGCCCTCTTTGCAAAAAGTTTGGACACCCCTGGCTTAAGACATTGGGTGTCTCCTGAAAACTCTTCCAGCTCACAAGATTTCCATCACAGGTTCAGGGATCATTAAGTGAGTATAATTCATCAAATTTCATGACAATCTCTCCAATAGTTGTGGAGACATTTCACTAAAGGCCAAAATTGTGAACCCTATGTTGGCCCAAGAGGAAAAGTCAGAAAATCACCAAGATGTGTTATTCAGTGGTTACTACTGTTAACTGCACCAAATATATCAATATAATGATAATTATAATTATCAACATCAGTTTTTGGAAACTAATGCTTTCTTATTCTGAGCATCTTAAATTTTGATAATAATTCTGTTCACACCAGTGGGTATCTTTCCATTTTGAATCTTGTCATGATTAGTTTCAGAATTTATTCCTGATTCAAATTGTTTCTAATCCAAACAAAAAGAAAGGAGGCTCTGTAACCACTGACTCCTCCTTGATAAGAGCCATTGTCAGACAAAGTATATATACATATATATATATATATATATATATATATATATGTATGTGTGAATTTATTTATTTAAGGTAACTACATTGACTTGGAAGCATCTTACAGTCTTCTTCTTGTATATGATGATAGATGAGAATCACAATTCTTATATGAATTAATTTCACGCTTATTCAGTACTCTACTGGATCACAACGCTGTGAGTAAGTGATACTGAACGTGTGATTGTAGTGTGGACACGGTACTTTGCTTACACTCAAAGTCTTTCTCGGTGTAGTGTCGGCCCATCCTGTCTCCACTGGTAGAAGCAGAGTCGCTGATAATGTCTCCAAAGCGCTCCACAGACAGTGCTTTCTCCCAGTTCTGCTCCTCCTCTTCTTCCTCCTGTTCCTCTGCAGATCCTTCCTCATCTTCCTCCTCCACCTTCACCTGGTGGAGAACGGAAAGAAAGTAAAAACACTTTCTGTCTGACAGGAAACAGGAAGTCGGGGTGGGGACAGTACAAGAGGAGAATTGCAAAAGAAAAAGTGGAAAGTTACAAAATGTGGGTACATTCACACATTCAAATGGCTAATCCTGTCACAACCACAATCATTACAGAAATATAAGGGGCCTTAAAGCTTAGGATGAATAAGGTCATCTGTTCATGCAGAGAGCAATCACCACTGCCATGAATTTGGACGTTGATGATTACTTGAACTTTGCCTGTCTGATTACTGTATTGTATGTATTAGCCAAGTGAGCAATCCAATCAGACGTTCCTTTAGCATAACACAGCTTGGCTCTGACATCAGAAAAAGCAGCTGTGCAGGGAGCAGATTCATGCTGAATGAAAGTGAAATGCTAATCCAGGACGAACACAGGAAAAAATGAATGTGGGGTAGACCCAACACCAATTCTACATTATGCCTAAATTATAGAGAACCCGTCTCAACACACTGCAGGTGACTACTTAAAATTGTGAAATGCTGAATCTAACAATGCTTTTTATTGTTTCCGACCACATTGAGGTCAAAACCCTGTATTTATAATGAGAAATGTCAAAATGTATTACATATAAGTAGAGTAGGCACATAGTGTCTGTATTTTCTCCACGTCATGCAGGGAGGACATCAAATCAATACAACAAAGTACTAAGCAGCAAAGAACTAATGCACAATACAGCCCCTGGAGACAGTGGAGGCTGAAGGGAGTGTCCTGCCAGAGCCGTTTGCTGCCCCTGATAGGTCGTGTCACTGGGACAGGCCGCTTTCCTCCGCCTCGTATTGGTGCTGGCATGGTGAGCTCTCTGGCTGCAGTTCTGTGGTCTCAGATTTCTCTGTGCCAGGGCTCCATTACTTCCTAATTACCAGAGGGATGAAGGGACAGGATACGTTTAATGATCTGAGCTACCTATCTACAGAAAGCAGAGGCAGATGAAGCCAGAGCGAATATAAAAGGGAGAATTTAAAAGCTTTGTTTTCACTGGACAGCAAACTCATTATTTAAGGTGCTCTGTGTTCCTGCGAACCAAACCAATTTTCAGATTAATTTCAACCTTTCCTCTTACATCCTCATCTCCTTTCCTTACTCTGGTAAGCACCGTTCATCAGTGTAAGACCCTGAATTTAATAGTCCTGATGTTATGCAGGAGGGACTAATACTCCCATCTGAGGCAGATATTACAGTCTTCTAAATGGGCTTTTTGCGTTTGCCCAAGCTCCACTGGAGCAAATGACTCCAACCGCTTTCATGTCAGCTTTGAAGTCAGTTAGGGTGGAGGGGCACAGGAGGAGGGCAACCCCAGCCCAGGTGGTGGAGGTGCTATGTGAATAGGAATAAGATGACATACAATGGAGTATAGCGAATTCAGATACACTTCATTTTATAGACAGTGGCTCAGTGAATACAGCTGATATATGGAACGGTAGTGTGATATGGAATGTAGATGACTGTTGGCCTCCACCCACACCTCCCTCACTACGTTGTTAGATCAGGAAGAGGAGGAGGGGGAAATTAAGACATTACCGCATAATCATATTTTCTAAATGTAAACAAAGTTTTTGCTATATCAGAGCTATATCAACATGAGAGCTGTTTTATATCAAAACAGCTCTCATGTTGATATAGCTCTGTGGTCAGGTGTGGCTTTATATTTTGGGCAGGGTTAGCGCATCGCTCCAACTCACATCTGATTGATGCCAGTTATCTGTACGCCCCCCGAGTTTAAAGATTTTTTACTTTATTCCCTCCAGGTTCCATTCTACAACAATCCCACTTCAGCAAAGGCTGGTTCACATACAAATCTAACCTCAGTTGTGAATTTACTACAACACGTTCCTTTGTATCTGTGCGAACCACTCCATTCTATCAAGGAAATCAACCCTTTCAATGTCTGTAAAAAGTCTTTTTTTTTATCTTTATTTTTTTGCAACTTCTCAGGGACATTTCCCAGTTTTTCACAGTTCGAAGCCTTTTCAAATTCACTGCTTTTCCATGACGGAGTATAAAATAGCTGGTTGAATGTCAGTCTTGAGTTACTAAAGTTATTGTTCCTTTTCTTCAAGAACACAGCAAATAGTCTTTAATATGAATCAGTGTGCAACATATTCACACATTTTACCTGTTGTATTGAGTTTTTCATGCATATTGATTCAGAAAAAGTCTGGTGAGAAATTAAGCAGGGTTTGACTTTTTCTCTGAAGAGCTCTCTTTCATTTCTAACAGTGAATTTTGTCACATTGCCTGTGTACGACCGAATTCAACACTATAAATTCTTTCAGGAAAGACTGTCTGATAGTGTGAACTGTTTTTTTTAAAATTATTATTATTATTTTTTGGGGCATTTTTGCCTTTAATTCGATAGTTGCAGTGAGAGAGACAGGAAAGTCAAGGAGAGAGGGGGGAGGAAATATTTGTATTGCAGATCATTACAATATCAAAATATATAGTGTTTATAGTGCAGGTATGGTCATCAGTTCTGACTGAGACTGGTCATTATTAGAAGTATTCCCTCAAAACTACCAGATTTCAGAAATCTCAGACATCAATTTCAGTTCATAAGCTACAAAGAAAATACTGTCACTGTGGTCAGAGGAAATGAACTTGGAGCGGGATGCTGTTGTGCTCAGTACACATGATAGATTTGGATTGTATCTGAATACTAATTTTGAAAAGAAAAACCTCTGTATCTAACTAAATTACTTTGGATTAAATGAACAAGATCAGCAGGTTCAACAAGTAACATTAAAGACTTTATGAATGTAATAATGGATATGAAGCAAAATCCCATAATTACTTGCAAATTGAATTTGTTCACATTCAACATGAAAATGAGTGCAGAGGATGTGTGTGCATGTGTGTGTGTGTGTGTGTGCTTGTTCTTATATCCCAGTGGGGACACCTAACCTGAATACACAGTGACCCATGGGGACTTGTGTCACCGTGGGGACAAAAACTGAAATCCCCACAGGCAGAGACTGCTTTTTTAGGGATAAAATTAGATTTAGGTTTAGAGTTAGGGTTATTTGTGATAGTTAAAGTTAGGGTAAGGAGCTAGTGAATACATAGTGGAACTAGCTACTACTAAGGACTTGGCTACATAAGCTACATTGGTGCTGGGGTTGGACTTTGGTGATGCTCCTGATGTGAATACAGAAGAGTATTGGGTGATGGTAGGTGTTTGTTGGTGGCTTCTTATGGTGACTTTTTTGTTTGACTTTCCGAGAGACTCTAATGCTTTCATCCCATACTATATTTAGACATTTTAAGGCCTAAAGATTTTAGATTTTAGATTTTAGACTCTTTAGACCAACAGAAACCCTGAGTTCTGAAAGTATTTTGAGAATAATAATAGTATTGTAGTGATGATTAGAATGAAAGTGAGTGAGTGAGCAGAGTGGATCCTTTGAAGTGTTGTATAAACTATCGAGCACAAAGCACTTATATAATCCATTTCCATTCAGCTGTGTTGCCAGCATGGACACTAAAATCCCCTAATATTAATACTGTTATAATGAATGCTGGATAAGAGCTCTCATCTCATCGCAGCCTGTTTACTGTGAGTATTTACACTGTCGGTTAATAGCTACATCAAACACAATGATATCTGATGCATGAAAATTCAACTGCTCTGTGGCTGGTTGAACACTTACAATCAATTAGGAAGGGGACGCCTCAATTAAAAACAGCCTGATCATCTGAGCCAAGCTGCACTTCAGTTAAAAACATGCTGTCTAACCTTTTCTCATGAACTGCCCAACTTGTACTACAACATGAATATTTCACATTTAGTGGATTGCTGAGCCAGAAAGATGTATTCAAATATTTATTAGCTGCTGACTAATATAGATATATAATACATAATAATATAATATATAATATAGAGGAGAGTGTGTGTGTGTGTGTGTGTGTGTGTGTGTGTGTGTGTATGTGTGTGTGTGTGTCTGTCTGGTTTGTCTTGAGAACAAAATGCCCTCACATCAGTAATCAGGAAAACTCTGTGGAATGAGGGTATATTGGGTTATTTCTCTACAAGACATTAGGTTTATAGCTAAAGGTTATGATTACTGTTAAGATTACTGCTATTAGGTATGATATTACAAGAATCTGGTTGATTTAGGTGTAAGGTTTTAGTAATATATTTAGAAAAAACACTGAAACAGAGAAACTCCCCAGCAGTAATCTGAAGCTGGGGAAGCAAGTGGAGCTACAAGCTAAGCTAACAGGAATGCCACACAAACTACCCTTCTTCCAACAAGATGGACGAGCCAAGACTGAGGGTAACATTGCAGCAATGCCCAAACAACTGTTGCATCCTGATTCCGACAACATCCCAGATACTGCTGCCGAACGAGCAGATCGTTCACTACACACTCAGAAGACAGGAGCCGGACTCTCGTGTATAAATGATGCTTGTTGCACGGACACAACTGTAATGAACAGACTTAACACACCCGATCTTTACGGAATTCTCCATTGTTTTTGTGATGGCGGTTTACATACCACCACATGCTAATGCTGGGTTAGCACTTGCTATTAGCAAACAACAGAACTCCCATCCTGAATGAGTCTTCATTGTAGCAGGGGATTTCAATCAGACAAACCTCAGGCCAGTTCTCTTTTAATCTATACTCTTTTATCATCATGTTAAATACCCAACCGGGGGGAAAGACTCTGTTTATACTAATGTATTACATTGTATGCAAGGTCTGGACCACCTTTTTTGTTAATGTTGCCGCCTTACAAAGCACTAATTAGCAGAGTTAAACCAACAAGCAGAGCGGGTAGAGTTTGGCCTGAGGCAGCAGTATCAAACCTACAAG